TTTAAATAATGGTGAATATATCACAGTGCAGCTTTATATCTCACAATTACAAGTATTTCTTAAATATTTATATCCCACAGCAATTTAGGAATGTATGGAAGCTTGTTTCCGCCACAGGATGAAAAATAAAAAATGTAATTGCGACTTTTTATCTCCCAATTCTGACTTTTTTTTTTCCTCACAATTGCGAAAAGTTTATATCTCGCAATTTTGACTAACACGCAATTGTGACGTTATATCCATATCTCGCAGTGATATAAAGTCTAAATTGCAAGATATAAAGTCAGAAATGATTGATATAAAGTCGAAATTACATGTTGTAAAGTCAGATTTGTGAGAAATAAATTATTCTGAGGGGGAAAAGTTTTTTTCCCTTAGAATTGGCCTGATAACTCGCAATTGCGAGTTTATATCGATATAGTCAAACTGTATAAACTCGCAATTATGTGTTATAAAGTCAGAATTGCGTATGTAAACTCGCAATTGTAAGAGAAAAAAAGTCAGAATTGTGAGATAAAAAGTCGCAATTCTGTCTTTATTTCTCAGAATTGTGACTTTATATCTCGCAATTCTGACTTTATATTTTGCATTTCTGACTTTATATCACGCAATTCTGACTTAATATCTCACAATTCCAACTTTATATCTCACATTTCTGACTTTATATCCCCAAATTCTGACTTTTTATCTCACAATTCTGACTTTATATCTCGCATTTCTGACTTTATATCTCGCAATTCTGACTTTATATCCCCAAATTCTGACTTTATATCTCACAATTCTGACTTTATATCTCGCAATTCTGACTTTATATCTCACAATTCTGACTTTATATCTCGCAATTCTGACTTTATATCTCACAATTCTGACTTTATATCTCACAATTCTGACTTTATATCTCGCAATTCTGACTTTATATCACGCAATTCTGACTTTATATCTCACAATTCTGACTTTATATCTCGCAATTCTGACTTTATATCTCACAATTCTGACTTTATATCTCACAATTCTGACTTTATATCTCGCAATTCTGACTTTATATCTCGCAATTCTGACTTTATATCTCGCAATTCTGACTTTATATCTCACAATTCTGATTTTATATCTTACAATTCTGACTTTATATCTCGCAATTCTGACTTTATATCTCGCAATTCTGACTTTATATCTCACAATTCTGACTTTATATCTCGCAATTCTGACTTTATATCTCACAATTCTGACTTTATATCTCGCAATTCTGACTTTACATCTCGCAATTCTGACTTTATAGCACGCAATTCTGACTTTATATCTCACAATTCTGACTTTATATCTCACAATTCTGACTTTATATCTCGCAATTCTGACTTTATATCTCGCAATTCTGACTTTATATCTCACAATTCTGACTTTATATCACACAATTCTGACTTTATATCTCGCAATTCTGACTTTATATCTCGCAATTCTGACTTTATATTTCGCAATTCTGACTTTATATCTCGAAATTCTGACTTTATATCTCGCAATTCTGACTTTATATCTCGCAATTCTGACTTTATATCTCGCAATTCTGACTTTATATCTCGCATTTCTGACTTTATATCTCGCAATTCTGACTTTATATCCCAAATTCTGACTTTATATCACGCAATTCTGACTTTACATCTCGCAATTCTGACTTTACATCTCGCAATTCTGACTTTATATCTCGCAATTCTGACTTTATATCTCACAATTCTGACTTTATATCTCGCAATTCTGACTTTATATCTCGCAATTCTGACTTTATATCTCACAATTCTGACTTTATATCTCGCAATTCTGACTTTATATCTCACAATTCTGACTTTATAACTCGCAATTGTGACTTTATAACTCGCAATTGTGACTTTATTTCTCACAATTCTGACTTTTTTTCTCTATAATATCTCACAAGTGTAAGATAAAAAGTCGCAATTATTTATTTTTTTATTTTTTTATTCAGTGGCGGAAACAAGCTTCCATAGCAATATGATTGTATGTATACCTCACAATTTTTACTATTTCTTAAATATCTCACAATTACATTTTTTTTTTTGTCAACAACGTACGGAGCCTCTGAAGAAACACGGTAAATGAGATGGGAGGGAAATTTATTTGGGAATAATAAATGTTTGTGTTCCCCATGCAGAGAAACTTTGAAACGTTTCACTCACAAAGAACACAAAAGGATTTGCAAACGAACACAAAGTTACTCGATGGAACGTAAAGCATTTGCGAGAGAACACAAAAGCATTGACTTAAATGTGATATTTTTGGCTGTGCTTTCCAACATAATGCACTTGAACGATGACTAGGACAGTCAAGCTACAAAATGATAATAAAGTGTCATTAAACTGGTCCAAATGCTCTTCTTCCAGTTTAATACTGGAAAATGTTCAACACAATAACTATTTAAATTTTTGGCAAATTGCCAGCCAATTCGAATGACTTCATATATGATCTGTTGACGTCCCAGTGACGGCTAGGGGTGGACTTTTATGAGTAGGCCTATTGTTTTCGAAAAATCGTACATTTGTATAGGATTTTAGAGAATTTGAGGAAGACAAAAGAAGAGAACGGGTTAAAAATGCTGGTTTTTATATCTTCCATCCAACACAAAATACCTCACAACTGCACATTTAACTCTCGCATTGTGACTTTATTTCACTTTAGGCTCCAGTACATGATAGAAAGCACAACCGTGTTTGCCCGAGGCTTTCAGAAGTTTTTGGTCCTGGGGTCAAGATGGCAGCGACAGGATGGTCTTTGGGATTTCTACATTCTTGCAGAAATACTAGATAAAGTCACGTTTCCCAAACTAGCACATGACTTCACATACAGCATACGGAAGTTTAATTGGCTTTGGTACGTTTCTGTGCCAAAAACACAACTTCTGAATAGCACGGAGAGAACGAGAATGCTCCTTAAACACCTCCGGGACAAAGTAAGAAATGGCAAACATGATTCGCCAGTTTACCTACAATGTTTGCACAAAGTCTTCACACCATCACTCCAGGAAAAGATGAGAAGTTTCCCAAGGCCTTTTGTAGGATACCTAGCCCTGTTCATGGTCATTGCTTTAACGTATCAGAGGCGTTACAACGTAATACTAAAAAAAAATCCAACAAAACCGATTAAATTAAAATATAGGGGCGAGTTGATAAAACATGCACAGCTTTTTCCATCTGTTGCTAAAACATTTTAGTTTTGACAGGATGTGGTGTAGGTGTATCGCATGTGAAATCACTCTTCTTGTGTGCTTAACAGGTGGTGTACGCTAATCACAACGCAAGTTGCACCCCAATAACATTTTATTACTTGAACACCTTTATAAACCAGTGGTTAGTGAAACGTGCAAAGGAGAAGTTAGTGTTATTGTGCCAATGTGGTAGCACTTATCTAATTGGCTGTGACGTTATCCTAACAGGAGTTTAATGCAATTCAAGCTCACAAGCAGTAGTAAAAAGATTGGTTGATAAAAGTATGCAAAGTTGAAAAGCTGTCATTCACTCCTGCACTGGCTTACGTGCGCATTACAATAAATAAACCAAACTTCTCCTTCCTATTAGCAGCGTGCTGTTAACAGAAGAGGGAACGTGCTATTGACGAAGGTCCTAAAAGTTCTGTTATGTTTATGCTTGAAGTGAATCTTTTAAATAAGCACATCCAGTGAAAATAAACGCTGCGTGTCGGAGCGAGGGGGAATCAAAACGCTCACAGTTCACTCTCTGAGCCTTAATTAAACTGCAGGGCAGATAGGATTTCTGGTTGTGCATCGCAAGAGTTTGACATAACGCAAACAAACAGCCTTTGAGAGAACGAGAGATCTACGAAACACTCGTCAATTGCTTTTAAAACCCTTTCTTGTTATATTTTTTTAGGGCTGTCAAACGATTAATCGTTCGACAGCCCTGTTTTTTTTTTTTTTTTCTTAACTCATGCGACCTAAAGTTTGCACAAAAACAGATGCTGAACTCAGTAAAGTTGCCTTCAATCAATAGGGAGAGTGAGTTTTAAACAATTAGAAATGAGTTTCCACAGTGGGCACCACCATATGTATAAAAAATGTATAAGAAAATAAAAAAATACAGTATAAAGTACATTTACTTCCCTTGTTAGAATGTGTTTCATGAATTTCTATATTTATTTATTGTTTAAAGATGAAATGAGGATAAATTCATGCATAATACAAATTAATTACAAGTCAGGTTGCAATGCATGATGTACTTGACAGTAATTAGGGATACTCTATTGTATTTTGTAGGGCATTCTGAATAAATAAATTATAAATAAAAGACGTCTAAACCAAATGTGTAACCAAGCTCCTCGGTCTCCCCTGTATGAATGCTGCGTGACAGTAAATGCAGAGATATTTGCCGTTTATAATCAATAATCCACTGGCAGTATGTGCATTATAACACACAGAGTCTGACCAGCACTCATGGACTGAAGTGAACCGAGCACAGAACTCTGTCTCCCCCTATCGGTCAGTTTCAGAGCATCACTTCAGAGAGTCACTGCATGACTTGATGAATACATGCAACAATATGTGCAACTTCTCTAAACCCGTTGAAAAGAAGGAATTGGAGCGAGTGGAAAGCTTTCTCTTTGCTGAGTCACTGAGTAACACACATCCTAGAGCCGAGCATCCCTAAATCAGTCACTAAATAAAGGAACAAAAGCCAGTGGTTTGAATATTAAGCTCTTAGGATTGTTTGCATTCGCTTGACATCTTTCGTGGTGTATGTATTAGTTTGTACGGCCCGAATAATACAACGTTTCAGACCGCGCAATTGGCGCGCAATTCTTAAGAAAACAGCACTTTTTGAAACTAACTTAAAGCAGATTTCTCAAATGAAAATGCTAAATTGTGGGTGATAATTATTGAGAGAGAGAGCGAGAGTGAGTAAGAGAGAGAGGGGGGTGGGCAAGAGGAGGCATCGTTTTCCTTTTCGTCACAGCGCGTGCTCTTTAAAAGCCCGTGCGCGCTCAGCTGCTGACAAACCAAAGTTCGTCCCTCTCTTGGAAATACTACACGGGAGCGCACAGGGAGCGCTTTGCTTTTGCAGACACACTCCAGTGCTTGCCACCTGAAAGCGAGCACACATTGGATTTGCAGGAATTCCAAAGTTGGAAAGTATTTTTTGGAGGCGAAACTTGCGACCCGAATTCTCTGAGATCGTCCACCTACAGTGTTCGCATGAATCTCCTAGACCCCTACCTGAAAATGACAGATGAGCAAGAGAAGTGTTTGTCTGACGCCCCCAGTCCGAGCATGTCCGAGGACTCCGCGGGCTCCCCGTGCCCGTCCGCCTCGGGGTCCGACACGGAGAACACGCGCCCCGCGGAGAACAGCCTCATGGCTCCGGACGGGACGCTCGGAGACTTCAAGAAGGACGAAGACGACAAGTTCCCGGTGTGCATCCGAGAGGCGGTGTCTCAGGTGCTGAAGGGCTACGACTGGACGCTCGTGCCCATGCCGGTGAGAGTGAACGGCTCGAGCAAAAACAAGCCGCACGTGAAGAGACCGATGAACGCGTTTATGGTGTGGGCGCAGGCGGCGCGCAGGAAGCTCGCGGATCAATACCCGCACCTCCACAACGCCGAGCTCAGCAAAACTCTGGGAAAACTTTGGAGGTAAATACACCAACCATGCATTGCTCGTTTAAAATAAAACGCAATTAGATGTGCCACGGTGTTATTGCATGGGCTTAGCGATATTTGCATGCAACTTTTTCTTTTCTTTTTTTTTCTCGTGGATGTATCGGTGTGTTCATATTGTTCTGCTCTGGGTAGATTACTGAACGAGGGTGAAAAGCGTCCCTTCGTGGAAGAGGCTGAGCGCCTCAGGGTTCAGCACAAGAAAGATCACCCCGACTACAAGTACCAGCCTCGGCGGAGGAAGTCTGTGAAGAACGGGCAGAGCGAGTCCGAGGACGGCAGCGAGCCGACGCACATCTCGCCCAACGCGATCTTTAAAGCGCTCCAGCAAGCAGACTCGCCCGCGTCCAGCATGGGAGAAGTGCACTCGCCCAGCGAACACTCAGGTGGGCATATTCAACTTTACGTGATCAAATCGATTCCTGGCTGAGTGGGTTTTTGGTTTTGTTTGTTTTGCGCTGTTGCGTCATCTGCAGTGCTGGGTAGTAATTTGTAATCTAATTACGTAATCTGATTCCAATAATGGAATATTTGTACGTAGATTTTTGCTTTTTATTGATTACGTGATTACAAATTATTCAAATTATTCCTGTAGGATTAAAAAAAAGGTTGCTGCCGTAATTTCTTTTTAAGTACAATCAACTTTATTTCAATTTAAATTGCATTAAACGGACATAAAAAAGTTAAACTTGGTTGAAAATTGTAAAATTATGTGAAAACATAACTTGTTGATCAACTTTTCTATTAATGTAATGCTGGGATTCCCAAAATGTGTAATAAGTTTTCACTCGTGTATTTTTATGTCAATATGGTATGGGATTATCTTACACCAAAAGTAGTTTGATTACGTTACCCGAAACGTGTAACTTGATCCGACGTTTTTTTTTTTTATCGTGCAGTAAGTAATCTGGTCATCTGTGCAGTGCTTAACCTTCTTCTCTCCCCTCCTCCTCCGTTTCCAAACAGGCCAGTCCCAAGGGCCGCCCACTCCTCCCACCACCCCGAAAACCGACGCCCAGCCAGGCAAAGCGGATCTGAAGCGGGAAACCCGTCCGCTCCAGGAAAGCACGGGACGCCCGCTCAACATCGACTTCCGCGACGTGGACATCGGCGAGCTCAGCAGCGACGTCATCGAAACGTTCGACGTCAACGAGTTCGACCAGTACCTGCCGCCGAACGGGCACGCCTACGCGGGCGGCTACGGGACCTGGATGGGGAAGAACGCCGGCGCTCAAAGCGGCGCGCTCGGCACCGGAGAGCCGGACCAGCCGAGGACGACGCACATCAAGACCGAACAGCTCAGTCCCAGCCACTACAACGAACAGCAGCAGCAGCAGGGTTCGCCGCAACACGTCAGCTACGGCTCCTTCAACGTCCAGCATCTGCAACACTACAGCACTTCGTTCCCGTCAATCACCCGCGCGCAGTACGACTACTCCGACCACCAGGGCGGCGCCACCTCCTACTACAGCCACGCCGGCGGGCAGAGCTCCGGCTTGTACTCCACCTTCAGCTACATGAGCTCCAGCCAGAGGCCCATGTACACACCCATCGCTGACTCGACAGGGGTTCCCAACATCCCCCAGTCCAACCACAGTCCTCCTCAGCACTGGGACCAGCAGCAGCCGGTCTACACGCAGCTGTCGAGACCCTGAGGACGAGCAGAGACTCATCACACGTCATTCCACTCTCTTTAGACACACACTTGAATTTTACACACACACACACACACACAATAATGAAATGTAGGAAAGAAAGCTGGACTTTGAGATAAACGGCTCCCAACGTGCCTTTTTTAATCGCCTGAAATCGTGATTAGAATATATATAT